GGGTGCCAAACGGGCAGAAAGTAGTGCTGATTTTTTTTTAGCATCCTTACTTTGACGAGCACTTGATTTCCCCACGATGCATAATATAACGACACTATTTTAATTACCCGTATCTGACGCCCACTTGATCTCTAACCCTTGGGAGGTCGTTAAAAGTTTGCGGAGGTAGAAGTGCTGGTGTTCGCACCACTGTTCGTTCTGTGGGCTAATGTGGGGTGATCTACTGATCAGTTGGTCGCTTTTGACTTATTTTAAGGACAAGCGGGCTAACCCAGATTTCGGGGGTTTCTAGAAATTTTGACTTACAACAAAAATGGACATTGCCCTACCTGTAGGAGAAGTTTGGTTTTATTGGTGTGTATATTTGTTTGGCTAGAGAAAACTCTCCTTTTTCCTTTTTCCTGAAGAATCTTGTTTTCTGGGCTTAGCACATTTTAACAGCTTGCCAACTATATGTACCGGGGGTAAAAACCTTTCATTCGATTTTCTCAAAACAATATTTTTCGGGATAGCTCTCTTGTGCTTAAAAGCGACCAGTTTTAGTAATGTGGGCGGGCTCTTGTGGTCTAGAGGTTTACGGAGTTCACCTCTCATTCAATAGGTCCTGGGTTTGAATCTGGATAGCGACAGGAAATTTTCGTATCTTAAATTTTCTCCTTTCACATCATTTCCAGCTATCAAACAATTTTCTGTAGTCAGTTTTTCGTCTCCACTTTCTGCTCCCACCCCATCCCCTCCTTTGTCCCCTTTCTGGGCTCCGGACTCTTTCTGCGGTCTTTCTACTGCAATTCGTTGGCTCCTTCTTACTGCTGTCTTTCAGCCACACACACACCTGATCTTATGGTAGGTAAGATCTAACACTAACACCTAGCCTTCTCGGACACGGGCGAAACATCTCGGAGGTCCTGTGTGCAAGTTGCGGACTTTTAATATCCGTTGGTGATCCAAAATCGATACGAGTAGGCTTTGGCCGCCACCCGGGCAAAAGTCTAAATTTCCGAAAAACTGAAAATGTTTTGGTGTGTCTCGCCCGTTCATACGTCCTTATGCAGTTGCGGAT